CAGTTTTAACTGGTTATTACGTTCAAAATTCAGAAGGTGTTGAAAAGTAGGTGTGGTGAGATTTTTTGAATAGACTGTTGGACTTGGTAGATTTGTTAGAACAAAGCTGACTTTGAAAGTGCGTGCTTCGATGAGACATGCTGAATTTCGACGGAGCCTGAACCACTTCACCAGTGTTACCTGCTAGTCATCGTTCTGGACCATAGTGTCTTGAATAAACCCTTCACTCTTAGCTCGCATAATCATATTCTAAAAAAATCCTTTTGTTAATCCGTTAATCTAATAATCATAATTTAAAATTCATTTTTCAATAACTCAAAGATCGAAACTATTATATCCTAGTAACAAACATAATAAGGAAACAACATCTGTCAGTCACCCACTTATCCGTCCCGCATCTTCTAATCCGTCCAATACACCGGTCCAGATCAACGGTCAGGACTAGATATATCCCGATCAACGCGAGAGTGCAAATGCGAACAACTCGCGCGCAGAAAAGAAAATAAAACAAGAACAAAAATTTGGAATATTCAAATTTTTTTCTTTTCGTTTTCTCATCCACCCATCTCTTATTCCCGCAAGCAGTGGAACGCGTTCGGTCGTGAGGGGGACCCAAAGAAACAAGTTTTATTCGATATATACGCGCGCGAGAGTCGCGCAATGTGTCCCACCACCACCACCACCACCGTCGTCATCATGATCGATCAACTCGCATCTACACATACCTACAATCCTGCCCTGCTTGGCCAAGTGTCTCTCTCCCCATCATTGAAGCTGACTTTCGCTCCGGACAGTGGGCCACGCACCGAGACGGGGGGTGTACCGGAGCAGCAAAACCGGACTCGCCCATAAGCCTTGAACTCTCCCTCCCCGCGGGGTCTCTCGGGCACACATACAAACACTCAAAGACACATACCCGTTCGCTTCGTCACCTCAAAAGAAGCTTTTCACATTTTTCTCTTCTCGATATCCAAGGCCTAACTATTCTTTTCTTTTTCTGCTGGGGCTCCACGTGGATGCATGCCGTTCCCTCCTCTGCTTGACAACATCGAACAGTATGAACTCTCGCCCATTGCAATGACCCTTACCCCGACCCAAGCGATCGACAGAGGAAAAAAAAAAAACCAAGCATCCCACCAAGGGTCAGAAGACGAAAAACAAACTCGTTAAAATTTTAATCGCTATCATCCAATTTCGTCTCGACCAGTTTTCGCGACGACCGAAAACTGCTTGGACGAACGTCGTTCAAGTCTCTCGCTGGAAAGGCTGGTTAAAGTAGTCTCAAACGGAGGAAGAAAACTGTCGCAGCAGTCTCCAAAAATGGTTTTCTGGACCTGCTGGATGACAGGATGGCAGCTGATGGCGGCGGTGGCGGTGGGGAAGCCAAACAAAACCCAATTTACATAATCGATTTGTATTTGTCATCATCAATTTTACTTTTGGACATTGATTTTTTCATTCCGCTTCGCGTGTTCTCGCATCTCCCTGGTCAAGCCCCGGACTGCAGCAAGCAGAAGGTCGGAAACCGAAACTTGGAAAATGTGGATCTACAATTTCCACCCGGAGTAGTTGACTATTAATAATTTAAGTTTACTCTTGGGGCGCAATCACGGAATGTTCATGAAAATACGCACTTCGACGACATTTGATACGAATATCAGTGGTGCGTTTCACATCTAACGTCGTCATCGTCGTCGTCGCAGATAATGACTGTCAGAACAAGTTTCGCAGGCGCGTCTTACCCCCTCCCACGAACACCCCTCTAGTGCACTAACCTTCCCAATGCAATCGTTTAATTAGTATGCATTCCGATCGGTTTCGAGAGACGTGTTGCACACTCGCCAGCTCTCTATGTGCGGGACACTGGCGGCTATGAAAAGGGCAAGGCGAAGCGTGCCCCCTTTCTATGATTTTGCAGTTAAAAATTATGTATTGAGCAATGCACCGTTCTGATTAATACTTACTGCTATTAATATTTTGAAAACTGGTCCAGTATGAACGAGACCCGTGAACCCGGTATATATTTCACATTAGACGCCGTTTACTCTAGTTTACCTGGCTTTTAGGTTTCGGACCCATTAAGATGTCCAATCTACAATCTAAGTTTTGATTTGGAGCCTTTCTTGAACTTCTTCAAAATCGAGGTTTCCCGACCTTGTTTTCAAAGCTTTTCTGATGTTTTTTTTAATGTTCTATTCTGAGTATCCTTAAATTTTCGGAAATTTCTACAACTTTCGCTGAGGTTCCTCAATATTAGTAAAGGATTCCAAAGCATTATCAATATTCCCCTAATATTTTTTTAAAAATTATCTTAACTTTCCTGAAGAAACCTAAACTGTTTTGTAGTTCCTTTGACCTTCTCTGAACTTACCCATAGCTTCCAAGAGGTTCACTGAAGCGTCTCCGAAGCATCTTCTTGAAGTTACAAAAGATCTATTAAGTTTTCCACACATGTCTGAGGCACTAACTGAGTCATATTGATATTCCCTAGTATTTCTTTAAATTTTACCGAATATCTATGAAATCCATTGATCTCCTCCTCCAGAATGATTTTCTAAAATTAGCAAAAATTCTCTGGAGAAAATTAAATTTCTATAAAGTTCTCTGAACTTCTCAGAGAACTTCTCAGGAAACTCCTGAGAGGATCAGGGAGCTAATGAAAATATATCAAGCTTGGAGAGCTTCTGAGAGGATCGATGAACTACGAAAAGGGTTCAGCGAATTTTGAAGCTCTTAAAAGTGCTTCAGAGAAGATCAGCGGACTTCAGACTTTGGATAGGTTCAGCGAACTTCGATGTCCAGGGAGCACCAAACGAGTACATAAATTTCAACGGCTGTTCAGGGAACAGATAAAGCCAAGCAGTTTTGAATGTATCAAATACTAAAATATGTTCTGACAACTATAGAAACGTTCAGTGTTCACTCGTCTGTCGACAAAAGCAGGCCACTCTCCATGTGTGTTCTTCATCAGCAGTTCTTTCGGTCGATGCGTCGTCGACTTTGGAAAGCAACTGGTTCGTGATGAGTGTGACCACGTTTTGTGCCCATTGGTTGTGCTGCAATGGAAGCGCTCTGCTCCCCGTTGGCGATACTGCTATACAATGAAACCACTGGAAGCGGATCCCGTTCTGATGTAGGAGGTTTATTGGACAGCGGTAGAGCCTCCCTGGCGTCGGTAGCATTGGTGCTCAACACGGAAAACAAGATCGACGGAAAACAAATCAAGGACCAGGCATGGAAAATCATTTACATTCATTTCATACATTCATTTACATTCATTTGCCTCTAACTTTTTTCATCAACAGCATGCCGCAAAATGATGTATAGAGCTTTTGTAGGTTTTGTTATTAGCTACACGCTGGTCATAACTCAAATCTGTATCTCTTATGCATCACGAACTAGAGCGGGCAGAGCTTGTTACTGTTTTTCAGTGAATGTAAAATACATTCACTGAAAAACAGTAGTGGCTTCTGTTCGCTCTGGTTCGTCATGCATCAGAGATACGGATTTGACTTGTTAACAAAAGTTGTAGCAAAACCTACAAAAACTTTTCACATCATTTTGCGGAATGCTGTTGATGAAAAAAGTTAGAGGTAAATGAATGTAAATGAATGCACGAAATGAATGCAAATGATTTTCCATGCCTGTCAAGGACAAAAAATTAATTTTCGGAGCGGTAAACTTTCCCTTAAGGACTAGCCGCAACCCATAAATTGAGAAACGTTAACTTAACTGAACAGCATTATATAAAAGCAGAATCGATTATACCAGTTTACATGGGATTAAAACTTGTCATTGTGCCTCCAGATCTCTCTGAGAAACTTTCTGTAAACTCTTGTAAACATTTTCTGAAGACCATGATTAGAAGGATGAGACTGAGAAATCTATTGCTTAAGTAATGGGGAAGTAATTTTTAAAATTCCAAATGGTTTACTCCAATTGAAACATTAATAGAACACTTCTATTTATCTAGAGAATGTGTAACAATATCGCAAAATAAATGTCTGAGCAAACCAAGAGTCATTTTTTAAATCTTACTTCTCAAATAGAACAACTGAAATTGAAATGTTTCTGACATCCAAATGAACTCCGGGGAACAGTTTGTTAATAACCCAGTCCACAGTCCACCTGGAGATGCCTGTGGAATGCCATAGTCACCAAGTAATCGAGAGTTGCTCACCACCATCCAATAGCCATCAGCTGAGAGTCATCGAGATGTACTGCCTCCGAACCACCGGCTAATGGATCTGGCAGAAAACTGCCGTCCCCTGGTAGACCCCTCGCTCCAGCAACGTCACCGACCAGCCAACGAACCAACCGACTGCGGTGACTGAAATATGTCAACTCAAAAGACGCAGCTCTCTCATCATCACTCGACGTGGGCCCCACACACTCACACACACACACACACACACATACGGTAGCAGTTTCGCAATTCAAGGCCACTCTACGCAGTGCATCAGAGCAGCAGCAGTTCGGTGGGGAAAAGGGGGAGGGCAGCGAAACGCTTGCACATCGCAATGTCTCCGTAAATGATGCGAGACTGGCGCCATTTATAAATATTTACATGTACTTACCACACCCCACAACGAACGAGAGTGCTACGACATCGTACTTAATTTAACTGCGCTGAACAACCTTTTTTGCTATCGACCAATGCAATTAAGTCGCATTCCGTAGCGATTGAATATTCACGTTTCCTCCGATGCGATCCTTCTCTTCGTGTGATCGTCAGACTTCAATTTATGACAGCGTAAAACTTTCGAAATCAAGCTGGGATATTATTGTATACATAATTAGGACTTGGCCATCCACAAACTGATTGCGCCACGAATTCCCACAACAATCGCTGAATTGTTCAAATTCCTCCCTGAAGTGGCAATTAACACCACTGCAGTGGCAGCAGCAGCAACAGCAATAGCCTCTCAACCATGCGATCCTTGAAATATTTACGAACAAGTGCTAATTATACCTTTCCGATTGTTCGATTCTCTCCCCAGATGGCGAGTACTTGTTTGCCGACCCCGAGAGCAAACTGTCCAAATACGGACCAAAAAGTTGGCGTTCGTCACACACGCACGTAAGTATCCCCCCTTACTCCATACATCGAGGATCATTAACCCGGACCTAATTGCCTTCTTCTTCCTTTTCTTCTTTGACCTTCCAGGGCTTAGACGCAAACGGGAAACCTCTCCTGGAACTACACTTCCGTGTGCAGTTCTACATCGAGAGCCCACTCATGCTGAGAGATGAAGTGTCCCGCCATAACTACTACCTGCAGCTCAAGTACAATGCCATCAACCGGGATCTGCCGAAGGAATACTCCGAGCAATCGCTGTTGCTCCTAGGTGGCCTATCGCTTCAAGCCGATCTCGGCGATTGTCCGGACGAGAACGGAATCGTCACCGATGGTACCAGCAGTACAAGTGGCAGCTCCAGCAGCAATGCTGGCAGCACTGGCGGAAGCACCACTAGCACAACCAATTCCGGTAACGGCAGCACCAGCCACAACAACAACAATAACAACAACAGCAACAATAGTAGTAGTAGTAGTAGCAGTAGCAGTAGCAGTAGCAGTAGTAGTAGCAGCAGTAATAGCATCAACAACAACAACAGTAGTACTAGTATTAGTAGCAACACCAATACCATCAACAACACCACCACCACCACCACCCCCAGCGGCAACAATGAATACTTCAGGCCGGAAGAGTACATCAACCCGTCGCTCCGGTCGGCGTGGGGCATTTCGGCGCTTACCTCTTGCCATCGGGAAAACCGAGGAATGTCTCGGGCCGACGCCGAAACGCACTACATCCGGGAGGCTTGCAACCTCAACGAAGCCATCAATGCACACGTGTTTCGAATGAAGCAAACCAAGAACGAATGCGGCATGGGCACGGTATCGCTCAGCATTTACGCAAAGGGCATTCGCATTGCCATGGACAACTCAACGCCAACGACGTTCAACTGGCCGAACATCGGAAAGCTGAGCTTCGATCGGAAAAAGTTCGAAATCCGATCGGGAGACACCAAAATCATCCTGTACTCGGTGAACGACGACAAGAACAAAATGATATTAGCGCTGTGCCGGGAGACGCACCAATTTTCTATGAAAATTGCCCCGCGACTAACGGAAGCCATGAAGCGGGAGGAAGAGGAAAGCAGCTGCATTCACGGCTATCCATACCTGTACTCCCGGGCACTAAATCTACCGTACAAAAGCAAAAGCGACCAGCGAATATCGGTCATATCCAGCACCAGCTCGAATACTACCTCCGGCATCGTGAGTGATCGAGTTCATTCCGAGGATGAACTAGAGATCATCATCAATACGCCACCTACAGCAACACTCGCAGCTCCGTCGACGGAAAGTCTTGCATTGGCCCATCTGCTAGATTGTCCTAGCGTAAGCCGGCAAACTTCCTCCGTTGGACAGGTATCCCTGAAAGACCTAGAAGGCACACTGGCGGCTTTGTCGGTGCGATCGAACACCACAAGCCGATCGGCCAGCAGCGATGGAGCAGAAGGAAAGGAGCGGTCGGTTAAAGATTGCGAATCATCTCCCTCGTCACAGCACAACATAGGTTCGCAATGTTCGTCCACGTGCAGCACCGTAGTTGTAGCTACCGATTGCATAAGCTTACCTCAAACCAGCACCAACGGGTCAATAGAACGGCGTCAAACGTCAACTTGCAGTAGCCTAGAACTGGGATACAGCCATACGGCCCAGAACAGCACTTTAAGTGTGGCAACCAGTACGTGCCTAGACCATGACATCAATGAAGAGGAAGAGGAAACCAACTCCGGAGTCTATACCCTTGCTCACGCACCACCGACCGAAACTAGTGGAGTGTACACGATGAACAGCAGTGAGATGACGGGTCAGTCTTCGGAAATTGCTGAATCAGAATCTCATGAGAGTTCACACTATGGCAGCTTCCAACCTTGTCATAGTGAGATTGCCGAACCGTTAGAACCAGCTGATTCAGTGGATGGTGATTTCAGGCCCCGTTTAGACAGCGATATGAACGAGTTCAGATTACGATCAGATTCCACTGTATCTGCCGCAGGATCATTCAGAGGCGATGGAAGTGATCCAACAGACAATACGCATACGCTCTTAAGTGCGGAGGAGCTGACCGACTTGATCGTTGGACGAGGAACGTATCCATCGAGGAAAACTGTCAGCCATACGCTCGATTCAGACAGTGACTACGTAACGCTACCATTGCCTCTGGATGGAGAGAGTTATCTGCAGGGTAGCGAAGATACCGCTCCTACGGAAGACGAATACGATGACGACGTTCTACCTCCAGCTCCTCCGAAGAGAATCGACAGTAATATGCCAGCGCAGCGACAGTCGCTCATGAGTCTGGTTAGCTCCAATGATTCTCCTCCACCACCTCCTCCACCTTACAATGCGCATCACGAAACTACCGGGCTGCGTGGACCGGACATACGTCCGGACGAAGCACCAGTAATTCCACTTCGTGATCCACCTCCGTATCCACAGAAACCAACAACTATGGTAAGGGAACGACCAGTTCCACCTCCAGTCATTCCGGTATGCAGCACATCTAACATACAGACATCTGCAATACCAGAGGAAGTACCAGCGCGTTTCATTACCACCAGGCCTCAGATCAATATCCTTAAAGCACATACCAGTGTAGTTGGTGAAACTGCAAAGCCTAGCTATGCGGCACCGACGGTCAACAACATCAGTAATCTAGCGCAATCTCCACTACCCACTACAGTGACAACAGGGCCATCAACGCCCAGCGGAATCGGCATACCGGTTGTTCCGTACCATAAAAGCATAACCTCGCCTCCACCACCATATCTGGAAATGCCGAAGCCACCGCATCGAACCTGTGTATTGCTACCGGTAATCAAACCTCGTCAGTATCATCCACCTCCACCTCCGACAATGCCACGACAACCTCCACCACCTCCTCCTGCTCATTCGCTAGCTACGGTATATACCGGTCAGCTGGCACGGTCCCAGATCGAGCTCTACCAACAGCAGCTCTACAGTGACGTAGACTACGTCATCTACCCGATCCAGGATCCCGCGATCAGTCAACAGGAGTATCTAGACGCTAAGCAAGGCTCGATACTGGCAGCAATGGCACAGAGTCCACCTCCACCACCATATCTTGCCTATCACACAGTTCGAGCTCACAATCGAAGCTGGGAAGCTTGCAAGAATCACGCCATCTACCGGAGTACACCGTACCTTTCCATGGCTCTGTCATCAAACTCTCGATATGCTTCCACCCAGAATCTATCGGATACGTACGTTCAACTTCCTGGAACATACTCTCCTCTGTACAGTCCTTCGATAGCGAGCCTCTGTTCATCGTACGAACCACCTCCACCACCTCCGCTTCGCCCGAGGCCCATATCCAGCAGCTCATCGTCTATGTTCGTCCGATCTCGCTCTGACGACAACATCCTGAACTCGGTCGAAAGTACTCCGAAGATACGTCGGTTGCCACCTCCACCCCCACCGCCATACGAAACAAGAAAAACCACCCGCAAACCACCGATACCCCTTCCCACTCCAGAGAAGCATATGCTATCAACGGTCAAAGCTGCTACCATCATGCAAAAACCTCCCGAAGGTGAGATCAGCGTCAACTTCCACCATCAACTTGATATTATAGCAAGGCTTTTCTTTTTTACAGTCCCAGCTAAACCAACTCCCACGAAACCGTGTGGCCCGAGTGCCAAACTACAGGCCCAAATCAGGAAGCAATACCCAGACATCGATTTCAGCACGTCTATCGACATTCGGACTCTACGGGAAAAAAGCAAAAACCTAGACCTTCCACTCATCTCCGCCTTAATGCATGACCGATCCCTACTGAAGCAAACCCGTGCATTCGTTATGCCCAAACATCCCAAGTCTGGATTGATCGGTTCCCCTAATAGCATAACCACCTCCACCACTACCACCACCACCAATATCACCACCAGTCCCAGCCAACAGAATCTCCTGAACCACAAGACCAAGTATCCGGTGTCTGGTCTGAGCACCACCCAGCTTGTCAAACCCCGCAAATCGTCGGTCGTAAGCCATAGGCATCCGAACGACAAGTTGCCACCGCTTCCGGGACAAACGGCGACCGAAGGCAACAACTACGTGATGGATCCGACCCCGGCCAAGCAGAAGAGCTACAGCTCCTCACAACCCAGTGCCTGAGATATCAGAACTTTCGGATATCACACAGAGAGCTTGGTCGTCGTCGACGCCGTCGATACGTGTCAGATAAATTCTATAATTTAACGATGAAAACGATAGACTTTTACATTTGGAAACCTATTGTGTCATGCTAAAGCTAAGATAGTAGATTTTTGTCGTCTTAATCGGGAGAGAGAAATTTGTGTTACTTGCATTTTTATAAAATGGACCTATAGTTTGTTGTACTATTTTCTCCTTTAGAATACGCCAGGCAAGCCGGGAAAGTCGAAAGGAAGTTCTTGGAACGACGTTACTCACAATAATGGCCCCACCGAACGTACTCTGTCCGTTTCCAAATCGAGCATTCCCCCCAAATATTAAGTTTTTCCTACTCTCTCTCGCTCACTCTGTCGAAAAATGCACAAAACCGCACGCCCACATCGTTCCAAGCTTTCTTGCGATTTTCAAAACCCATACAGCACGAGCTGCAATCCGACTGTGTCAGCTCACGAAGAACAAACATCAAAACACACGCATATTAGAATGTAAACGCGCGAAGTATCTTTCTTTAGTGGAAATTACTCAGGATATTTTTTTTTTATTAAAACAACGCTCTTTGTTTAGGCAAAACCTAGTTCTCTGTTTTAAGCGTAAGTGTGTAAATAGGTTTCAGCGGACAGGAAGAGGGCACACCTAAAAAAACGGAATTCTATTTTGGGTACAGAATCGTTGAAGAAAATTCACCTTCATTTTTGGCACAGAATCCTTTCCGAAGCAAATAATGATTCGAAAAAAAAATCCATGAAATTCGTGCCAAATTTACCCGCTAAGTAGAAAAACGTTTTACAAATTCGTTAATCGTAACGCAAATCTATAGAATAGATAGAGTAAATTGAATGCACACACACAAGGAGGACAAGACTAATGACTTAGATTAAAGCAATTTTGTAACGAGTGAATGCAAAGCAATAACTGAAAACTTTCTGTATTTGAAACGTTGGTAAATATGCTGTATAGATTAGGATTCATCTGCCTATCGGGAATAAGCCCTTGTATTTCTGGAAATGGAACAAAAATCTCGAAGAAGTAATTTACACTCAAAGTGAGTCGCCATATTTATTTGTTACTGAAAGCGTTTGAGGATACTGAATCGTGAATGAGAAAAATTAGGAAGAGAGAGAGAGAGCGTGAGCGAGAAAGTGAGTGTACGTGAGGAGAACTTTTTGGATGGCAAATACCCGGTTGAAGAAAAAAAATAAAAGTAATAGTGAGCTAGACAGGGGCAAGTTTATGATCATAGTACATTTTTGCTCAAATTACCTACTGTAGGAAACCTTTGGTGTAAGTGGTGCACAAGTGCATTGGTTTATTTAGGTTACGTTGAATTTTATTTAAAACAATATTTTATTTTAGCGTCGTTCCGTGCGAGAGAAGATGGCGTGTATTTTTACTAGGGAACCACTGACAAATGAAAACGAGTACGAACTGTTTCTAGGGAGTAGTAAAGTAATCGTTATGTTTTCCTATAGACATTTTTAATAGTTTTTTATTAACATTCTCTCTACTCTATACAACACAGCTAAGGTTGACATGTGTACAGATCAGGCTAGGACGTTAAGCTACTAGTAGGTTAGAAACTATTTGAATTTTCTTCTTTATAAGAAAAAATCCAGAAAATAAAATCCAAAATGAATCGAAAACAAAAAATCTTCAATGATATTGCTGTTCTGTTTATTATTTTTATTTTTTTTTATTTGTGTAATCTCACAACTACTGTCTCCTGAGCGTTCACGGTGAACTCTTTGAAATAGACCCGTTCGTTTTTCGTCGACAAACTGGCAAGCACGTCTCCACTGTAGAACATGACGGTCAAATCCAATGAAACGTTCTTCGAGTTAAAATTTGTAATCGATGCAAAAGAATTCCTTCTCGGGTACCATCTTTGGATAACGAGAATGTCATTTTTACTCGACTTCACTTCCGCATTCGGCAGGATTTGTTCGTCCTTGACCACAGCATTCAGATAGATCGAAGGTGAGCGCTTTCTTAGGGCTATCAAATCACGCACGATATCAAGATGGTGGAACGACGCGGAGGCACTTTTCGGTAGCCACGGCAACGTTCCCCGTCCCGTAAACTGATTCTGGCCTCCACTCCAGCTCATCGCAGGCAAATTATGCAAATGTTGCGTTTCTTCGTGCTCTCCGTTTGGATCATGCACCTCCTCCAACGCAATTTCATCACCATAGAAAATGCTCGACGTTCCTGGAAGCATCAGTTGCATCAAAGTCGCTGCTAGTGAAACATTTGAATTCATTCCGGAAGCCAAACGCCGTTCATTGACCCCACCGACGCTCCAATGAACCCATGGGTGCTCAGCTCCTTTGAGAAGTTGTCCATTAATTGCATCACGAACCGTATTGGCAATCGCTTCCGTTCCATTCGAAACCTCCAGCATAACGTCAACCAAATCTACCTGGTTCAACACGTCTCGGACGATCGCTTCCGGAACTTTATCAATAAAATCCTGGCTAACCATCAGCACTCTATCCCCGCCAAGGGTATACTTCCACTCTTTGATATTTTCCAACAGCAGAGGATCGTCGTGGAAGTGCTCCAATCCCTTGATGTAAAATCCATCAACTCCACCCTTAGCCAGCCAGAACATCAGCACACTGGTTATGACATTTTCCCGTTCCGCTTTAACCGATCGAGCTAGCCTCAGAAACTCACTAGTCGGAACATCATCCGTCCTATTGGGCAAATGGTCCACATCCAACGTGGGAGGATTCAGGTGGTTCACAAACGGATAGATCGGTAAATCCAAGATCAGCGAAATGTTCCTCTCGTGCAGCACGGCAGCGAACTTTTGCAAATCTTCCACCTTTCCTAGCACCTCGTCAACTGCCGTCAGCGATGTAACGTCCTGGAAGTGGTCCGGATAGTGCGCCGAGGGGAAAATCGAGTTCAAACGAACGGCCCCAATGCCAAGGGTTTTGAAATATTCCGCTCGGCTGATCAGGCCCCGGATGTCCCCCAAACCGTCGTCGTTGGTGTCCTGGAAACTGGCCGGGAATACTTCGTAGAAAACGGAGCCCTTGTACCAGGGCACTCTGAAAGGGGAGAAGGAAATGTTTGTGGTGCATTAGAAACAGATCTATTTGTGTTTGAAATTACAGATGTGGAGACCATTCAAACTCAACGCTTCAAATTTGGCTCTACGCTAATGGACCTATTTTACATTGGCATTTAATTATTTTCTGTCGACCTGACATGTACCATGTTGAAATGCCCTGAAACCAAATTAAAAAAAAGTCTGGTTTTTCAATAGTTAAAAATGTGATTTAACGTGTAGCATGATGGATTTCGATCGCTTCCCTGGAGTCTCCTGAACATATGGAAAAATGTGGTCCCTTACACTCAATATTACCTGTAGCTAATATGATATATTGTTCTTTAATTCCACGGTGTACCCTAAACATATGTGAGTATGTGGCCCATGTGTTTTTTGGCACTCAATATGACCACCAATGATCTTGTTCGTGAATTTTCATCTGAGTTAGAATGTTGGGTTTTGCTGACATCATAATTTTGTCACTTCCCGTGGGACACACGGATCATGTCCGGCCAAATCTAATGTGTTCCTGGGTAATCAATGGAGCCAACAATTATCTTGATTTGGAATGGTCATGTGATGTGACGTTGGCTATATAGCAATATAGTCCTGAGCACCCGAAATGACTTGTTTTCTAATTCTTATTTGAGTTGTCAAACGACGGGTTTTAGCTCAAGCCTTAAACTGGTCACTTTCTCGGAGGCATCCGTAACATATGTAGGTGTAGTCAATGTGTCAATATTGGGCAATCGTTTTGGCAACCGTTGATCTTGGTTTCCAAATCTCATGTGATTTGAGGTATCGCATGATGAGTTTTAGCCCAAGTACGAAACTGGCCACTTCCCCAAGAACCCCGGGAACATGTCTTGGAGCACTCAATATTAATGATGCACCGAATATTCAGCCGAATAGTAAGCTTCGCAGTCGCAAAATATCGCTCAAACACATTTATACGACTTGTTAGGTCATACAGTACAATCATACTTTATGCCCAGGGAAGTCGAGAAATTTTTAAATCAAAAAAACATCCTACACCAGACCGAGAATTGAACCCAGCCGCCGCGGGTATGGTCTTGCTTTACAGCTGTGCCTTCAGCGACTGAGCTGGTGACCCCATACCACTTTGGTGAAACACCGAATACCTGACCGAATAGTACTTTTCGGTGGCTCACTAGAAACTACTCGATATGACTACCATTTAACTTATCATCGAGTCCTGAAGGAAATGGCGTCTTAGTGGAATACCTGTATAGAAAAAGAAGGATTAGTAATGTCCATTTAATGACACTACTTCATTTGCTTATCCTTGTCAAGGATAACCAAATAAGGCAGTGGAATTAAATGGCGATTACTAATCCTTCGCTCTTTCTTCTTCATCGAATGTTTATGTAATTTGATGTGTAGCATGGATTTGACTCGATTTTGGTCGGTTTTAGTCTCATGCCCCGTCTCAAGTTTCGGCGATAACTCCGTATATATCCAGTAGACCAGTTCAAAAAATATTCAATAGCGTCCAACGGAACCACGGTGCCTTCCACTTGACATTTGTGTTATCCAACTTGGTGCAGAGGTTTCTGAAGAACATTATCTCGTTACACCCGTTCCCTGTTCCCGGGGATATCTGGATTTCATGATGGCTGTAACATGTATTAATTTAGAAATTGAGACTTGAGCAGCTAGTCTAGAATTGACCCTTTGGTGGAGAAATTTTGAACATTTTGAAATAGAACCAGAAAGTGCACGACGAAGTGAGGGTTCGATATCCTCTCCAGCCAGTGGAACTATTCGTTTACAGGAAATTAACCTACTGGTCTACTGAGTATTGTTTGTAGTCCGTTGTCTACAGGGTGGGGAAAAATTATCCGCTTCTTTTATCTCAATGTACAACTCATATTTGACAGATGCTATTGCAAAACAAACGTGCAAGTAGTGCCGGAAAGAATCCATCACGTAGTGCAGTAATCTAGTTTTGCAAGCAAGAAAATCGTCCGGTATGTATCGCTAGGATATTGAAAATGCCAATACGAACTGTACAATAAAACGGTATGATGAGCTCCAAAATTTGTCACAAACATCCTTGGATCATTTGAAAACCAGCCTTACCAAGGCCTGTGATGCTATAACTTTAGAGGAACGAACGTCTATCGTCAATCAACCTATCTAAACGATTGAAGGTGTGTGTATGTGGCTGCCAAATTAAGACATTTTAAGTCATCCATGTAAATTTTACGAAGCACGATAGTGTGTCCACTTTTCCCAAAATATATTATTTTTAAGAAACATTGAAGCCGTATAATTTTTCCTCACTCTGTAGTGTTCCGTGTTCAGTCTGTGCAACATCTGGTTGAAGATTGTGTCTTGGAATATTCCTCAGAATTTCCTCCATGAATTTGTTTGTAAAATTGCATTCGAATGCTGGTCAAAACTATTTTGAAGTTCTCCTGTGAATTCTTCCAAAACCCGCATGAAAATTTCAACCCAATTGCTCAGGAATTCTACTACCGATTCATTGAAATTATCGTGAAAGTTCGCCGTTATTCCTTTGAAATTACACACTACGGAAAATGCATGTAAATTACGGTGCTCAAAGACCAACATATGCAAGCGTCTCAGAGATTAAATTCAATGAAACGTGCTGTTCATCGCGTTACATTTGTTTCAGATCCTGCACGCGAACAAATCTAATCTCCGAAATGTGACAAATGACTCATGATTTCATGAATATAGCGACTCCATGAATAATATTCATTAAATCATGAGCTTTTTTGCGTAATGCAGACAAGATTCCCGAAATAATTAATCGTACGAGTTGAAATCATGAACTAAATTCATGTGAATAAAATAAAGCATCAAACTGGGTCGAACCAAAAACCTCGGGATCATTAAACCCATACTTTGACCGCCAGACTATTAGTACTTGTATACAACTGCAGGCAAAAGGCGTATAAAAGCTCCCCATGGAGTGCGTTTTATAAACACGGTTTGCCAGGTACATGTAACGCTGGTAGTGCTCATGATTCCGTTGCATTACGAAATCATGAATTTCCATAATGAAATCATGAATCATTGGCATGATTTCATTGTATGGCATGTTTTTTTCATTTCATTATTTTGTATTCATGAAAATGGAATCGGATTTGATCCCTTGTGGGAACGAACCCACAAGTGGTGAACATCCATACCTCTCACATCAAAGTCACGAGTTAAAATTTTATCTCCGGACAGCTCATGAATGACCCAAGTGACTACAATAAAAACATAAGAAGATTTTTCGGTATTGGGACACTTAATTTTATATGAATGTCTTGCACACATTTTAACATTTACATCAATTGTGGATTGCGTTTCGAGTAAGATTACTTTGTTCTAGGAGTGTATACTTAAATTCAGATTCTTTCTGAATTGTTATCAAAACATATTAGGAATTCTTGTCAGAATGCTTTTGCAGTTCATGTCAGAATTATATTGGAAGCTCAGAAATCATCCACACAATTTATTTAGAAATATTCTCAAAATTCTATTGGAATTGTTCCCATAGTTCTACTGGATTTCTTCATAGAATTTTCCACGAATTCTCCTCTGAAATTTTAAATCAGATCTACCTTGGAATTAATAGCTACTACTACATACATACATATCCCTAGCAATTTTTATCCGCATTCCCATAATAATTGACCTTGAAATGTTGTCGAAAAAATATATTCTCCTTAGAACTCCTTTGAAACTATCTTCAGATTCAGGTTTCCGTGGAACTCTTTTCAAAATTATCTTGGGATTTATTTCAGATTTCCTGAGAAGTTCTACTCTGATTTTCTTTCCTGATTTCTCAGAATTTCTTTTTGAACACTCCTGGAATACTCCTTTCGTAACCCATGCACTTCTACTCATAACTACCGCGGAATTATTAATTTAATTTATCTGAAGTTCTCCTCGCAAAGCGCATGGAGTTCTTTTCAGAATTTCCATGGAGCTCACTTCGGCATTCGATTAGAAAGCATTCCAGAATCCCCTAGAAGCTCCCTTATGAATACCAGCAGGGTCAGAGTCATGGGAAAACAGCCTCCACCAAGGGCGAAAACCCAAAGGGGTGAATCCAAAGAGCTTAGCAACTTTACTACGAAATTAATTCCATTGAAATTCAATCCATGGGCGTAATACTAACCCAACTAACATTGCTGGTTATATCGAGATTTTAAAGCAGTCTACAAATCATGGTCTACAGAGCCGTCATAAAACCAAAATTGTTACTTTGGAAAGACTTGCTGTAGAAAAGTTCTAAGGATTTCAGGAAAGCATTCTTAACGAATTTCAAAGTAATCTAGCCGCCAACAAAATAGCAAAACGACATACTGGTTCTCCGAATTTCGTAAAAATTTGTTGTTTTGTTCCTTATCGCAAAATATTACATTTTTTAGTATTTTTTACGCTGTCATAAGGGTAACAATTTCCATGGGTGGTTCACAAAATCATTTTTTTTTTTCAAATAGTTTTGAATCACTGAGGCGATTTCAAAGATCAAAATATTAAATGAAAGTTTATTAAACATTAATTTTTAGGAAAAATTTAATAGCATTACAAAATAGGGATGTTGTATTGAAAAACATGAATTGTATTTGTATCATGGCTTTCATGGTTTGAGCAGAGGGCGCAATATGTTTTTATATTTTTTTCCGTTTTTTAGTTGTATTTGTTTGATGCTATCAAGTGTTGGGTTTTTGCTCAATACTCCTATTTAACTGAACTGCCATGCATCTCCATTGATTTTATAGTGACTGTAGCATAATAAAAATCGCAATATTTTTAAGTCATTAAATTTTTTGGATTTTAAATAAGTATTTTTTGCCGGCGCCAGTGGTGTAGTGGTAAGCGTGACTGCTTTCTAACACCCCAATGGGTCTGGGTTCAATCCCAGCCAAGGTAGAGGGATTTTTCTGAGGCATGCCGTTGGCCCCGGTCTATGTGTGTTGAATGGGTGCGATATCCTACGCAGGTGTGGAAGCTGCCTTCCTGCACATTCAATTGCCGTCAATGGATGGCAATCGATGTCCGTCGGTGATTGACACTTGATTGCGGAACAGAGACCGACGTTATATGAAGGAATGAATAAAAAAAAAATAATTATTTTTAATTACCTTTCATTTGATATTTTGATCTCTGAAATCAGCCCAGTGGTTCAAAAGTTATGAATTTATGAAAAAGGTCATCTTTGACATATATTGATTTTTTGGATCATCCTAACATGGAAATGGTCACCCTACTGACAAAAAAAATGGGTCTAATATTTTGCGATAAAAAGCAAAATTACCAATTTCTACGAAATTCTGAGGACGACCACTATATCGTTTTGCTATGGAATGGCTGGTAGAAAATAATTCCATGTACTTTGCAATGAGAGCTCCAGGCAAATTCATTGGATAATTTCAAGGGTATTATGAAGAAAAATACATGATAATTATGAGGAGAAATCTATTGAGATTATAAGCAGAAGCGCAGGAGTATTCCAATGGAAATTCTGAGCAAAATGTCAATGAAATAAGAGGGGATGTTTTTACCCAATCCCAAGGGAATGTTGACAAGGGCTCCAAAGAACTCATTAGATTAATTTCTAGAGAATCGCGATAATAATTCTTAATCTGACTGGAAAACATAAATTTTTCGATAGCATATAGTAGTTATAATAGTTATGGTTAGAATTAAAAGAAAGAACTAACTCAGAACTTCTGAAAAGATTTTGAAAGGAATTCCAGGAGAATTTAGGGGAAAATTTCGACAGAATTTAAAGAAAAATTGCAATGAACTATTGAGGAGGTTTCCAGCGGATTTTGGGGATAATTCTAAGACAGAAAAAAGACGGAAACATTTTGGTAGAAACTGAGCCGTGATACACAGCTAATGATGTTTTTACTGGTGGAATAGCAAGAATACATCTGATTTAGCGAGGGTCTAGTATAAGAGAGGAGCAGACTCAAAACAAACTACCTTGGCAACCTATGCCTAGGCGATTTCAAGAAACACTGCCAAAGAAATCAAGATAGGTGGTGCTCGATTGGCTCGGGCTTTGCGTATCGTTTGGCTCAAAATCAGCCAATCCGCTTCTCTCTTATACTAGACCCTCTCTAATTTGATTTTGGCTCCTGCTACTTAAAAATTCCTCAGACTCCATCCATCCCATAGATATTTCAAACGGAATTTTGAGCACATTAAAGGAAATTTTTAACATACACAGGAACAAATTCTGAATTTTAACCATCGCCTAAAATCTCCCCTCATTTAATTTTGAGTTATTATTGGCATAAACAACGAGATTGTTCAACACTCCGAAAATGATACCTAAGGTAAAATGTGTAGTGGAAAATTAGCAATATATATATATATTGCGCAGCAAATTATCTATTGATACAGAATAAATTTTTAAAGTATTTAGTTTCAAATGGCTCCAAGGAACGGCGCCGGTGGTGTAGTGGTAAGCGTGATTACCTCTCACCCCAGCAGGCCTGGGTTCAATCCCAGTCGGCACCGCCGGGATGTTCTCAGGCATAACATGGGATGGATGGGAAGTAAAGCCGTTGGTCCCCGGTTCATGAGTTGATGGGTCGATAGGTGGGGTCCAGGTGTGGGAGCTGCCTTCCTGGCACGTTGGTAGCATTGGTGCTCAGCACGGAAAACAAGATCGACGGAAAAAACAAACCAAAGGAAAAAAAAAAAAAAAATGGCTCCAAGAGATTTCAAATTCATCAATATATGGTTGTGCTATGATTTTTCAAACGTTGTAAGTTTACCATAACACATTTAACCGGAGGCAACGTGTTTGGAGTGTTAAAAGCTAGTATACAACATTGCTGATTTATGCGATATTGCACTTAAATTTACACGAAATACCATGTAAATTTACGTAAAATCTAACGCTAACTATATGTACGCCAAATATCACAAAAATTTACTTGAATTTTTCATGCGGTGTATTGTGGTGATAATTTCGAAGATTCTGATGAGTAAATCAAGGAAAATTGGTCAAAAGTCCCAAAAATTCAAGATGCTATTATAATAATTCACATTAGGAACGGGTTAGCGTACATTCCTCTCACGCTAAAGGTCACGAATCCAAATATCATCCTCGAACAAGTCACGAATGATCTTAAATGTGTTAAAGCGACAACCGGAAATCGTATAAAAATGCCGCAAATTAAGTCCACATCGTGCACAAGAATAAATTTCATCCCATAATCACAGCAAAAAATAAATTTTAATATTACATCCTAGAGGATGCACTTCAATCATGTTGAAAATCTCATGTAATTTTTATGGCCTTAAAAATAAACAAATGCAGTAAAAGCAGCGTAATGTCAGTTCATGCACTGTATTCATGATAATGTTATCCTTTTTGGCAAGTAATATTACACCATATTTTCGACACGATTGAAGTGCATCCACTTTAATGTGATATGAAATTTTTTTTTTTGATGTGATGGTTAAGTTTCAAAATGTCGTCCCTCATATCACTTTGTATCACTTGTCAAACTGATTTTTTTTTAAACCTTTTACAAAGATTTATCCTTTTAATTCTACTACTTAGTAGTGGAAGTAGGAGAATTAAAAGGAAAAATCAACGTATAATGTATACAATTATTCCACTAGAACGCTCATCAATTAGATGATTTTTTATTATAGATTAAGTCGTACAATGAACTCTTCACAACTCGATATTTAAGAGACCATCGAGTTATAGAATTATCGAGAAATACAATAACAGTCCCATACAAAATCGCTTTCACAGTAGTCATTAAATTAGTTTTTACTATGGTTCTATAACTCGATATTGAGTTAGTGGACATTGAGTTGTGAAGAGTCGACTTTATGTGATGTCAAATAGGATCGCTTACAAAGTACTCACTTACATTTCATAAAAATCACCTTTAATATACATGCATTCTAGTTGTCTGAGTCTAGTTTAATGGAAATTACTATGGGAAAAGTAAACGTTTTGTTCTCTTTTTTTTTTTTTTTGTTAAATGAAAAATGCTATAATTTGCATTGTGAAAAATTCTTATCCTGATGTAAACAAAAAGTTTGGTTGACGTTTCCTCTCGAACTCGCCTAGTGCACTCTACATCGGCGGTGCATTGAGAAATCATATTCTTTTAGTGAAATTGATAAAAATTTTGGTAGTCCTATTGTGGAACAAAATAGTCAACCAATTCCAATATAGATGACATGGCAATAGTAAGGATCATCATTGGTTGTTACCTCGCTAACGTCACTCTCTTTATACAATATATAGAACCTCTTAGTACATGTATAACTTTGATATTAATTTAACCTATGCTATTGGAAATCGAGAGAGAAAAAATCGCTTATATTGGGTTTTAAGTAATATATGTCTTAAAATTTACGATATTTCCAATGGTGACGAACATTTGCAAAAATTAAAAACATTAAAATCACAATTACTGAAATGGATCCAGGTTTTAAACAGCTTGAAAATCCCTATTGCAAACTGAACATTCCATTAGGTCCTCAGTAACATTGAACGATTCTCTTCGTCGACTTTCTCTTTCGTTAAAAACTTGATAACAGAAGCGTTTCTTGATGTGTTTGTCGTATTTGATGCTAGATAAAAGCTTCTTTCATCGATCGGTGTGCTGAAAATACCTGGGAAGGTCTTTACATGGCCGTGGGGATGCAAAAAGAAAGTCGATGAAGAGAATCTGTCAATGTTACTTAGGACCTAATGCAATGTTCAGCTTGATTGGACTACTATCTTTATCTAGAAATCAAGACAAGACAACAGAAGCATTATCCACACAGATCGACAACGAATTAACGTTTGGTGATTACTTTGATCAAATCACAAAGAACCATAAATGCATGAAATTAAAAATAATTTTAGTTTAAATTTCTCATGTAGAACAACACAATATACCCAATATAGAATATTATCAAGTTCATTGAATAAAACGCATTACGGTTTAATCAATGTGCAAAATGCTAAGAAAAATTTATCTTAATGTTTACTAAAATTAAGCGGAAAATGCGTCAACACTTACGCGCCTTAAACGGCTATTATGAATTGTTACATACTTGGATACTTTTTACCTAACCTATATTTGAAACATGCAATTCGAACTTTTACACGAACAACCTACGTCAATCGAAAGCGCTGTGGAAAGTCACGCGCTTTTTTTTTTTAGAATCCGTATGTATTTGTGGAACGAGAATTGGTCGCTCTCATTCACAAAAATAATTGCAACCGACTCAAAACACAAACGCTTATGCCACAAATCCAGAAACTGAAAATTAATCACTGCCTACTATGCTCAAAATAAGACGTAAATGTTATCACGGTGTTTCAGTAACGTTCAGAATCATCACATATATTGCAACGTAGACGTTATGTGAACAACCAAATGTCCGGATTGACGAAATGTCCGGTATTTGGTGCATTACAATACATTTCAGTACATTCAAAAGGGAATGTCTGAGAAATAATCTTAAGTCCTTCAAATAACACACCCTTCATTATACTAACTAGGTATCACGTGCTCCCCATTAAATCCTATCGGCACACATTTCTCCACGGCACAGCGCTTCTGTTTTTATTTGTCTCAAGGCTCAATGCTCATCGCACAAATAGCACAATCAATCACAAACTGAAACAAAACAAACAAACTTACGAAGGATTGCACGACTTGGGCAGCCTCGCAATCATGGTCACCACAATGGCAACCATGGCGACAATCCCGGCCAGGAACACGAAGAACGTACACTTGCGAATCAGTGGCCAGTCCCAGTGCACGAAGCTGGGCATGTCTTTGGTGAGGGAAATATTCAGCGCACCGTTGGCCATTCCGTTTTCCTGCATCTTTCCGTCGCTCTTCTTCCGCAGATGCTGATACTCGTTGTTGTGATTGTTGAACAGATTGCCCGCACCACTGGTGCAACCACCCACCATTTCAATTCCCGAGCTGCCAGACGAGCTTGTCTCTGCAGCGAGATCGTCTCCGGCAACATTTTCACAATTGTCCGCATTTCCCATGCTTGGCGTCAAGGGGTGGGTAAAATCCAACGGAGGGCTGGGCGTACCCGGCAGGAGCAAACAGGTAGATGCGTCCTCTTCCGGAAGAAAGGTCGACACCGATGGCGACGTCGTCAGTGACTCCGGCAGATCTGCGCCCAACAGTGTTGGGTCGGTGGATATTTGCAAATGATTCATTTTTTCTTCCGATCGGGTATATTTTCCTTCTACCACAGACACATTCGATACGCTACAAGAACGATCACGTGAAAATGCAAAATACACTAATTACACAACACTTATCCGCTCACGAAACCGCGCTGACGAAATCCACTGCACCAGCTTGGGCGGTCACTTCGGTTATGTGTGATGCTCACTAGATATTCAGTAGGTATTCTCCTTTCTGGCGAACGAATTGTCACCCTTAGTGAGCAACACCAATACCACACCAGCTTCGGGAAGTATGGGATACGGGGGGGACGATGACGACGACGACACACCGAATGTGTGAGATGTCGCCGCGATTCAATTGATACAAATTAGTTTGCCGTGACGACACCAAAGCAATCAATTGATCGCAAATTTGCTAGACCAGCACGGAGCAGATGGATAAACACTTTTTCACAACCACACCGAATCGAACGAATGTTTCACAGCTTCACAATTGATAATAAGAATATTCCTTCGAGAGCTAAGCAAGGTTGACGTCTTTTACGCACCACAATCTGAGGAAAAATCACTTTTTATGGCAAGAGGGAAATGTCTGGTTTGCCATAATACGGAGTGAAACGCATGCGCGTACATTGCCCGTGGATTTTCGCACCGACACATGGTTCGGGTGTTTTCCTAAATACAATACAATGTTTACATACAAGTCGGTGAGTGTCGGTCACGGGAGGGCAAATTTGTTTGGGATTTTGAAACCCGGTTGCGCGGTTGAAGGAATTTATATCAGATAAATGAATCAGGACGAATTAATTAAACTATATGGGGTTGGATGGAGTAAGATGCACCCCCCCGGGGAAAGAGGATTTTTGCCTAGTTTGCTAGTTTGCAATGCTAGTTCAGTAGTGTAATGAACTAGTCATGTTCCTTCACAGATCCTCGAAAAAATGGATAAGAAATAAATTTTCCCCGGGAGTGCATCTTACGCCATCTTACACTGCATTACCTCAGGGCCTCCCTTAGCTCAGTTGGTAAAGGCAAGGCCAGACCATGCTAGACGTGGCTTGGTTCGATTCCCGGTCTGGTCTATGCATTTTTCGGGTTGAAGAATTTTGCAACTACCGTAGGGCAACTGGGGGTAAAATGAACACCATAAGCAATTTCACCGTTTTCTCTTATTATAAACCAATAGAACATTAGACGTATCGCATAATAGAAAGCTTTCATTCATATTCAATAGCAATGTATGAAAATGAATAATGTTTCGAGGTGGTGGTGATGGATGTGACGTCCCCATACGCCGAAAGTGGACTATACCGAGAAGCAGGACTGGAAAGCGCCTCAGAGCGGTTGCAAAGCAACTTTGTGCAGAGTGTGTGGTTTTCCCATTTGTTTCGCACACTCTTTTCCAACTAATCTTTGAGAACGCGATCCACATAATGAGCGGTACACTTCATGCGGCGCAGGGAGCGAATATAATACAAGAAGCGCTAATGTTTCTTTGAGTTCTTTTCAGACTTTGCTTACCACGACTGCATGCATAGGAGATAAAGAAGTGCACAACGAAGAAGAATATTGTCATTATGCTAGGTTTCCCATTTGCAACCCTACACTGAGTGACGCTCTTTGTGTCGGAGCCGTCTTCTCCGCTGCTTTACACCAGCATTTGAATATGCTCCTTAGTATGCACCGCTTTGCACCATTTTGAAGTGTAATTGTACCATATATCATCGGAAAAGCTGCTGTAGAAAGGTTAATAAGTACCATGAAATCAGTTGAAATGTTCAGTAAATCATTGTGTGCATTTGTGAATTTTTACTGAACATGTCAACTGATTTCATGGTACTTATTAACCTTTCTACAGCAGCTTTTCCGATGATCTATGGTACAATTACACTTCAAAATGGTGCAAAGCGGTGCATACTAAGGAGCATTTTCAAATGAATAATGTACAGTTTTCTCTATTTTAGGGAGCGTACTTTAAATATTTACTGAGCATTTTAAGATTTTTAACGTATTTTGATCAATCATTTAAGGAGCAACCCGACATATTTTAAGGAGATTTTTTTACTTATTAAGGATAATTTCATCTGTTTTATTGAGCAAAAGTAGGGCTGCCATTCTTGTTCAACTCTGGAAGCTATTATTCAACGTTTGATCAACTCAGGTGTTTTATAAGAGCTCTCAATTGTTTGTTGGGAAGTAATCACGCTTACCACTACGCCACCGTCTCCGCTAGATGGTTTTTATGTGTTTATTTCTTTATGAGAATCCAGTTTCCTAAACCTGTGTCACAGACGTCATTTCAATTAGATGAACCGTTCTCGTGCTATGATTTATTGAAAAATATCGAAAATGCCATTTTGAAAAATTAAGAGTGAATATATATGGCAGAATTGCAACACAAACTTGGTTGATTGACTCTAGCGAATAATAATGCGAAGTTTTTTGGAATTTAAACCAAGTAAAATCCTAGGTGCATCTTTCTCTAAACTTTATATTTCTAGCGTTATACTCAGAAAGTTCATGGAGATCAGTGTCTGTTTTAATCATTTACTACCACACGCAAGCATGCTTGGCATGCACAGTTGTACACCAACTTCTCATTTGTTAATAACTTTTCACTCAGTTGTTGAAATTTGTTTTTCTTTATAGTAATTGATAGAATAGAATCATAGTTTATTATAGATATGTAAAGAATAGGTAAATCTTAACATTTGTATCAAAACCAATGAATTTTTACACTTAAAGTCCGAGATGTGCAGTGAGCGTTTCTTACTTTATTTTTACAACACAAAAACATATGGGTCATTCCAGCTCAATTGGGTACACCACCTGTGGTCGATGTCACCGATTTTAGATAAACTTAGCCAAAACGCTTATTTTGGAGTTCTGAACAAACGCCTTTTTTTATTTTGCTCTAAAGTGCCTAGATTCTTCTGGACTACAACCTTGGATTTTCGAGATTTTTAAAAATTTCATCTTTCAGTAGAAATTACTCCACAACCAAATAAGCTACATATTTGTGATCTTAGAACGTCAATTTGAAGGTTTTTTAATGTAGATTTTTATAAGTGTACTCACATTTAAGTTTTGTTATAGTAACTACAGTAAACAGACTGATTACCGGCAGGTATCTAAATTGACAAAAAATGGCCTATTTTCACCATGGGCGGGATTTTTTATTTCTTAATAGTTGGAAAACTTTGGAAAAATCTTCTACTTGATGTATTTTCAAGTTTAAATTATTTGGACCAATTGTTTTTTTTTTAGATATGACCAAATGAGTGAGAGGTTGTTTTGAGCTTTTCTGGTGAAAAATCCATGCTATTTAATATATTTTTATTTTTTCTTGATTTGTTCACGCTGATGGCACAATGATATTTTTCACATGTTCTGGGCTGGATTCTTATTCTATGAAATCATAACTACCTCATTTATTTACTTCTGTCCTTAATTTAATTATGGTCCTAAAAGCGAAAAATACGTTCCTATGGGATACAGCCAAAACGTGCTTTAGAAGTACGATTAAATCAGATGGATGACAGCTGCTACTTGAATAATACCCTGATTTGAGTCATTAATTTATTTTTTTAGATACAATCTCACGAGCAAGAATGCTTTTTTTATTATAGTTATAAAGAAAAATAAACGTTGAACCCTTTTTTTAACACACTTTCCACTCATGAACGTAACTGTCATGATCTTCTACTACGCATTTGAAGCTTATTGCTTATCGCATATTTTTTATTATAGTTATAAAGAAAAATAAACGTTGAACCCTTTTTTTAACACACTTTCCACTCATGAACGTAACTGTCATGTTCTTCTACTACGCATTTGAAGCTTATTGCTTATCGCATATTTGTTTATTGCGTGCTCTCAACTTAGTGTTCTAAATGCACTTCCACAGTTATTAATTGAGAGCTTTCGATGCCAAAATCAATGCATGAGTTAAATGTTAACGTAACTGTCATGTATCGTCAGCAAACCCATTTTTTTTTTTTCTATTCGTGACCTAACACTACTGCGACCAGTAAATTGATCTATTGTAGTATATCCTGTGTCCTTAGTTTAGTGCATGTCGTATTACTCCATCACTATTGAGAAATGATGAAGTATTATTCGATTTTTTTACAGTTGCCACTCTTGCATTTATCGCAAGAATCCGACTCTAATTGAAAGGTCCCGCTATTTATACCCTTCGGAGTGTTGAAACACCCTCCAAAGGCGTGCCCCTTTGTCAGTCAAAATTGGATTCCTTAGCAACAAAATTAAGGTATGACACCGATAATGACCATGCATCAGAACCCTAGTCTTAACCACTTCAAATTAGGGAACAACGAATAGAAGATTAGGAATCACATAGATGAAGACAACTAACTCATTTTTTTTTTCCTTGTTTCAAGATCATCAAGTCATAAAAAGTAACAAGGAATAAGATGTGTTCCTTGTATTACTGAAAAATCCTGTTCCCCTAGTTTGAAGTAGTTAGGACTAGGAATCGGTGGTAGATCTTACATCCCGTAACGTACCACGAAAAGGTGATCTACCCACGTTACGGGGCCAGTAAACCCATAGTTCTAAATCAGTTTGTAAACCATTATGTACCATGTTTTTACTGCAATCCGTTATTTCTGTCTTTTGGAAAATCTATTTTTTTTTTTCTATACTAGTGCTATTATAATAGTACTCTAAACTAGTCATCTATCATTAATCTGTTCGATTGGTTAGAGGACAACCGAGAAATAGCGCGCTATTCGGAGGATGGTACTCATTTTGCATACTTGCGATTCGATTTTACATAAATATCTGTTTGCTACCAGCCAAGTCAGATGAAATAATTTTTGAAGTGCTCCTAGCGTTGAAAATATACCTCTTCTTATGTTACAGGCAAATTTTGTCTTCTGAGCGCAAACACAACTTACTTTTGCAAGCCTCAAAATATATACTAATACTTAGACATAATTATAAGTCTGCAACTGTTTCCTGTGCGTAGCTTCAAATGCGTAGAATAAAAGAACATGACAGTCACGTTCATGAATGGAAAGTGTGTTTTCAAAAAATTAAAAATTAAGGTTCAACGTTTATTTCTCTCAGTATTCTTGCTCGTGAGATTAATTGCTCAAATGTAATGGCTGTAAATGTAAATGTAATCAAGCTGTAATGACACATATGCAGTTTATTACTCTAATTAAAATCTACTTTTTTACGTATCTATAACAAACTTAAACTCTATTCTATCTACTGCTTCAAAAAGAACTTTTCTTCGTCAACTTGTGTTTCATTTTTGTACCTGTGATCTTGACATTTTTTACGATTCCCCGTTCTGAAGTGCATTTAATGAAGAACAATCCCCAGTTTAGTTTTCGAGAAGTGGTAACGGAACCAACGGTTATGGCTCAGGTAAGGCCGGTACTTTTCCGAGACCTCTTCCATCCTGACAAGTTGTGACGTTGCGAACAATTTCGGCCTGAGAACCCTTTCACATCGGGAAGCAGCCGACCAACGGAAACATGGATGCCATCTCGAGAGCGGCAGAAGAACCCAGTTTACGGACAGTCAACTAAATTGGTGAGTTCGTTCCAGTTTAATATTTTTTTTGCCATATACTTAGGTAGGGTAGGATGGTCTAGGACGCGCCCTGGGGTGAATTCTGCCACGTGGAATCCCGGAACTGGTAGTGAGAGTGCGGCGAGGAGCCACGTGGGGCCGTTTTGGTCTCGCCTATGTATTTATAAACATTACTTACAATTCAGCAATCGATTAAATTTTCAATAGCGATCAAAAATATCCATTAGTACCGTCCCAATGACGCGTTCATCTAGATAAAACTGATAAAAAGTAGATTTTTAGCTATGGGCCTAATATTAAACCCATAGGCCAACATTAGAGCCATTTCCCCTACAATGAGAATTTTCGGTCATTCCTAACCCCATTCACTGTGCAATTTCACTGATTCTGGCCAATCACGGAGTAGCAACCATTGATTTGTGGAGTCAGTCTAAGCCGTCTAAGCATGTCTGATGCAGAGAAGCAAGCTACTGATTTAATTTTCAGATCTGTATGACAAGGTTGCAAATACTCATTTCAGCTAAAAAAATGTTTTTTTTTTTTTAAATTATGAAATATATTGGATAATCCAAAGCTATGTTGATCATTATAACATTAAATTTTGAATAACAAATGATAAGACAATCTTATTAAAATGTCGTAATAATACCTCTGACCAAGGAAAAATGATTTATATAATTTTCATAAAAGTTGACGATACAAATACTAGTGAGGAAAGGAATTCCGCATTTCCTTTTCCCAAGTCCTTTTCCTCTCCTTCCCTTCCCTTCTTCTCTTTTCAGAAAGCGAGTAATGGCGCTATAACCATATGCCATATAGGGCTAGGACAAGAGTTAGTGCTCAGGTCCCAACCGCTAGAAGAAAATGGTAGCGAGCAAGGGCGCTATAACCTAGGCGAATACAGCATTCCCTCCGTATAGGTTACGTCCGCACACCGCTCTCTGTTGTCCTTGGACTGAGGTCGGCTGGATCGATTGAGGGATGGCAGTGGGTTGGCGGTGCCGTCCACGCTTGTACGGAGGGAGGACTGTACGCTCGAACACAAGGGGTAAATACCTGTGTTCCATCCCAGGAGATCGGACAACCAAGGAGTGTACATTAACTTTCTTAGCTCTGTCACTCCCAACGATTTATATAGCCTATTTTCAAATCCTGCATACGGAGCGGTTGGTACGGTATGTCCCCGCTCTTTGATTACCTGTGGATTAGATGTTAACCACTGTCTATACTTATTAAGTAGACATGGTAAACATTCACTTCCACAAAAATTAACTAAACGCTACACAGTAGGCCTGGCCGCTTTATTGTTTGTTTCACATCCTTGATGTGCAGCAGGCATTAATAATGACAAGAAAAATGATAGATGTATCATTTTCCAGGATTCTTTCAAGTACTGGCTGTGTATGTGTAGACTAGACTAGACTAGACTGTGATCTTGACATTTTTTACCTAGGGGATGAGTACTTAAGCAGGTCAGATTTTGATAAGTCTTTAGTGGGATTGAAACTGATGAAGACTGCGCATTGTAGTCGAAATACATATCTGTCATTGATACCAACATTAATTAAGCGGAATTAAATGGAAGAAAACCTTATTTGCTGTTCTATTTAATGCACGCAAAGAGTAGCGCTTCAACCCAGTGTAGATGAATTGCGTTTGTTTTGAAAATGTTCGCTGTCACGTACGAGCGAAATGAACAAATCTCGATAACTTTTTTAAAGGGACGTATCAGCTTTTGTAAACAATGCATTTGATCGTCGATTTGGCGTAACTGGTAGCTCGCCTACGCATGCTAACACTACCGTCAGATAGAGGAAATTTTCCCCTACCTGCTAGTGGTGTTAGTAAGCATTGGTTACAAAAGCTGATACGTTTCTTTTTGATAAAGTTAACGAGAAATGAGTTAATTATACATCAACGAATACGCGTTTGTTGATATTCACCAGTGCTTGGATAATCAAGCACAAACTATTGTCAAAATTAAAAGCGATTCTCAAAAGCAAAATAATCAATTTAGTTTTGGGCAAAACGATTATTTGGAAAATTGTTGACCCTAGAGTCTAAAACTTCAATGCTATCATCAATTCAGCATGAGGCAGTAGTTTTCCATCGATCTGTATGTATAAACCAACACAACACGTTCCACAGTGCTATATTTGTGTTAAATGAAAATAATCGATTCGCAACCATCCCCACCAAGATGAAGACGAATATTAATATTAACAACAACAACACAGGCGATAATGAAGATCCAGCCACTAATGGAAAAACACAAATGTTGACTTCGATACTCAGGGGGTGCCTTGATCAAAAGAATGTTGTTATGTCAAAATTCAAATTCATGCAGTTAGTTGATCTACCTGATAAGGTTGTCTTCATTTTCAGCTAAGTTAGGTGTAGGAGAAATGATTTTTAGCAGCACTGATGCAGATATATAAGATACCAAAAAATACTTAAAAATACTTAAAATATATTAAGCGTTAGTTGGTTACCATCGTTGCTATACAAATTTTATTTGTTTATTTATATAATGGAAAGTTTTTGAGAAATTTAAAAAAAAAAAATCATATTTTCAACCACTGTGCATCACAAACTACCAAATGTACTACCCCATAAAGAGCATCATTTCATCGATTCAGTTGAACTATGCAGGATTATCGCCGATCAACGGCAGTGCCGTCAATGCTTATCAATTACAGAGTGAAATTCCAAGGGTAGGTTTATAGTCTATACAGTGCGTGTCAGCACAAAAGAGCCATCTTAAATCTTATTATCAGTAAAAACAATGTATCTCTGTTGTTTGTTAACCAACATTATGAAATATTCAGGAGCTCAGAAGATATTGGCGAATACTTAATATTAAATGTCCACAACTTTTTATAAAAAATATAGTAATTTAAGCAATTCCATTTTGTTTTTCTACATCAATTAAAACAACTGAATTGTTTTGTTATTCAGGCTTTTGTGTTCGTCGAAAATTACCTAATCTTTTGGCTATATGATTTGCTTAATTTGAAACTTTCAGGCGAAGTATCTGAAACCAAAGCAATGAAACGTTGGTAAATTTTCGTTGTATTTAAAAAATAAAATGTGTGAATAAATAATAATTTTGAAGTAAGTAAGTATTTTTTTGGTTTAAAAATACTGACATCGCGAAAACAAACAGCTAGAAAGATGATCAATATTACATTATTACCCAAATCACAGAAGATTGTCATTAACGTTGAGTGAATGTTTAAAGAGCTATTGGACATAAGGTTTTTTTAAAGCCTTGAATATTTCATAAATATTTATTGGTAAACAAAAGAGATACAACAACTCGACGGTTTAGCGACGCTATCATTTTAGCTGGTTCTATTGTTCTGACACGCACTGTAGTATTACACAGCCCACTATCTACGTGGTTTCTAATACGCAAAAAAAGCATCATTCGTATCAGCATTTATTGCAACGCAGATTTGAAATCCTATGAATGAAATACATATGCATTTGATTCCAACGGAATCTGGTTACAACGGAACGGAAAGTTCAAAGTACGGACTTAGAATGGGTTTTTGTCGAGGCATGGATTTGTCGAAGAACAGAAAACATGCAATTTTGCAAAGCTTAGGAAAAATACTTAAAGGTGACCTGGATGGAATTATTTTAAATCATAACATTACATTAATTACCTTTTTAATTCGTAGACTAAATAAATCCGAACTGACCAGGATTTGTCTTAATGTATGGCCCTATCAGAAAAGACAAAATCTTCAAGCGATATCAGTTTAAGTCAAAACATATACTCATGTCCCGTTTCCGTTACACATAATCGTTAAATTCATAATGGACTCTTGGAACATACGTTATCACCCGAGTAGCACGTGCTGTTGAAAATCGGGACCGAGAGGTCAATGATGGTTGCCGTACTGGACATCACGTGATTACTGATGCAGGATCGTACTTTCAACCCAGAACCTGCACGGTTGTGTGGAACGAAATATTTGCCGTACGTGTAGTTTCCGTAACATGAACCCCTTCAAAATGTTCATTCCATCATCTAATGCTAAGGGGTCATATCCTTATAACCAAAACCGTGATTCTAAGAGGTTAAGTTACTCCAATTACGTCAATCTATTAACACTCAACGGCCTGCTTATGCCATGCGAACTGCAGAATCATTGCAAAACCACAAAAGACCTTTCCTAGCCATTTATTGATAACAATAATTCTCCGACACGAACAATATTCATCAACATAAATCGGCAAAAACACCACAAGAGGAGCCTATTGGCGATGGTGATGAAATCCATTCATTGATAACCTTCCACGAGACGTGCGCACAGTTCTCCCGATTCGGCCGCAGATCAAGCCCTCCCGGAACACACGTCGATTACCAGGCTGGATGTTCGGTCGCCTTATCACCAAGAAACTTCGTAGTTTGTTTTTGCTCCGGAATATTTTCTCGTTTGTTGTCTGTTTACAGTTGCCGATCAGCCAATCCCGACACGAGTTGAGATCAGCAAGACTCTCCTTCGCCGCCGTTCATGGGCTATTACGGGCAGGATCGTTTATTTCGGCCACAGTCTGGAAGTTTACGCGGTGTCGCGCAGTTGATCATTTTCCCCTGGAACGGATAGTACGCTGTATTAGTCCAAGACTCAAACGGAACTTGCAATCGCTCGGGAAGTATCAACGGTTTTCGGCGGTTTTTTTTTTATAAAGAAAAACGAACGGTACCATTTAGAGAACTAAGGTCCGCTGTTGTGTGCTTCCGGGTAGTGCACTGATCGGTGTGACAGTGTTGGAAAAAAAGTGTTACACCAAGAGATCAAGTGAAGTCTGCTGTGAAGAGAAATCATAAGCCAAGGTGAGCCTGAGGCGATCACGTAAAGCGAAGAACTTGAAAGCAACCAGACATGATCTTATTGTGCATAAGAGCCATTAGATACAAACTCAAACCAGTTATAGACAGTTCTTGACAATAAAAGATCTTTTCCGAAGTACGCAGCAGAAGAACCATCGTTTGGAGGTAAATGCATCAACGTAACCCTAGATGATTGTTTGTTATGTGACAGTGAGTGTGAAATGGATATAGTTTTGCCGAAGTTGAGGAGAAATCTTGATAGTGATTTTCGTGAGCAACGAGATACGATCAAATGCAGTTTATAAGAAAATTAGTAGTCTACCTGGACAAATTCATCCTATGCTGACATGATTCATCCGAAATGTTATACGCTACGAATTAACTTGTTTGAAATTCAAGGAACGTTGAACAAGCTTCTTAAAATTTAAGTTCCAAATTCAACATGTCAATTTAATGTTATATATTGAGAAGAAAATAAATATTCTGAATTGATTCTTAAATGATGGGATTGTTACAAACAACAATTTTTAACTTGATATTTCAAAGGGGTAATTAATTATTCAATTTACCTATACCATCCTGAACATGAGATTTGAACTCGCTTTATCATGAGGTTCCTGAAGTTTTAATGAAAATTCTTAATACTAAGGTGTTTGGATCATTAAAGATTCTTATTCTTTTTCTTGGCTATTTGAATCCGACTGAAACTTAACACCTGTCCTGTTAGCACAGTTGTGAAGAAGCTCTCAGAATAAAATTCCGTCCCGGAAAGTTCCTCGATCGGACCGAGAAACGAATCCACTGCCTGCGGCATGATATTCTACACCTATGCTGATGAGACTAACGGGAGATCCCAACTGAGCATGTTCGTGCATTTGGCATGGGCTACATGGAATTGAAGTATGTACTTTAATGTAAGTTGGTTTCAAGAAAGCCTTTTGTAACCATAACGTCACTAATTCATATAAGGTGACTACTAGTACATCTCATTTATTAGCTATCTGTAGTAATTGCTCAAAATCATTCAAATATTGACTCGGTCATTGCCATATGCAGTGGCTCAAATGATGTACCATCCTTTCTAGCTGAAGAACTCGCAATGTATTTAAGTTATCTATGAACAAATATTAAATTAATGTAAGAACAATATTCAGCAGAACCGCAGTCAAATCTCCTGCGAATCCGACACGTTGTGATCCTTTATCTGTCTGGCCAGACGCCCTCTGCTATCAACCAGCTCAATTGCGGCGTAAGGCTTAGTAACACCAAAGGCTGCCAACAAATAGCCAATTGTTTCCAAAACAAAGGAACTTCTTTTTCGATGCGAAATATTTCTCACGTCTTATCGCGCCAGCAGTTCACCGTAGGTCAACATGAACTCGGCTGGCGAGTCGGTGTTATCATAGTGTTATTAAAAAATGACGGGATGCTTTTTTGTTGGGCTATAACGATCGATCGGTTGGCAATAGTGGAAATTTCTACATCCGTCTGGAAAGTTGGTTGGCGTCATTCGAAGTATATCAGTTGTTGAGCGCAAATCTTCGAAGAATTGTGAAATAGTTTCACGTGCCTAAATAATGATCACTTTTATATATTACGTCAAATGGCAGATGAAATGAGTCATGCAGAAGTGGAGGTATTCGGCCAACTAAAAACATTTTGTTTACGGGATCTAATCTCAGCCAATGATTTGTAACATTAGATTGACACAAGTTGTACCTAATTTTATTTTGTTTTTATATTTGATTAGCAAATTCTGACATAAGGTACTTCAATCCTGCAATAGGCCTTTACTTTAGTGATATGCCTAAGTAACAAGTATACGCTGACATTGGATCCCATAACCCTCTCACACCCCCGTAATACTTCAACATACTTAAAAGCGAAATGGTTGATGGACTGTTTTATTCTAAAGTCTGGTTAAAAGCTGAGTCGGGCGAAGACAAAACAAAGTCACCTTCCGACTGCTGTGATGGATTTCAAATTGATAAACAAAACAAATCAATGCGCGACTCTCTCGTAGTCAATGTAGTCGATGAGTTTGATTTTTTTTTACTTTTTCAATAGCAAATTGGAATGTGGAGCTACGAGAAGATTGAGCACAAAACATTGTCGTGCTGAACCCAACACAATTGTGTTAAGTTTATCAACATTTTCTGTGTATTTCTCGTGGGTTGAATTTTTCAGTCATTGAAAGGAACCAGTTTTCTTGGTCAATTGTGAGTCTTGTCAAATCAACTTATTTAAAAAATAATAGTTGTAACAAAAGCCTATGAACATTGATTCCGTAACGAAAAGAATACTCTACAAGACACCAGCAAAATGGAACACGATCGGGGGAACTATGTTAAAGCTATTTGTAAAAAAAATATCGATTGGCTTTTCACTCAAAATTTTATCCTTTTCCTTTCTTTCCTTCTTGTAACATAAAAAAATATCGATTTTGACAGTTCAAATTGGTTTTCAAGTAAATTTTGACGCAGGTTTTGATGTACCAATGCGCCCCTAGTGATTGAAACCAGAATATTTCGACAGCAGATTACTGTTCTTCAGCTATCTGTGCTTTGATTCGTTTCTAAAAAAAAACTTCTATGATCTACTCATGCTAAGAGCTCCTTATAACACTTAATTAAGATGCCTCTATTGGTTATGTTAATGTTAATCCTTTTACAAACATGGAAGCAGACCACGAGAAATTCTCCTGGAATCTTACCTTACCTTACCAATCAGGCTAAGGCCTAGATGTCCTCTGCTGTCCAAAGAAGTCACCAGCCTTGTAGTCTGCGAAGGATCCGCAATTCGCCTTCTACTTGGTCGATCCACCTTGCCCGCTGTGCGCCTCTTCTTCTTTTTTTTTTGTTGGGTCGCTTTCGAGAACCATTTTCACTGGGTCGTCGTGCGGCATTCTCGCGACGTGCTTAGCCCACCATAGTCACCCAATTTTTACAATGTGAACGATGAATGGTTCTCCCAGCAGCTGGTGTAATTCGTGGTTCATTCGCCTCCTCCACGTTCCGTCTTCCATCTGCACTCCACCGTAGATGGTACGCAACACTATCCGATCAAAAACACCAAGGGCGCGATTTGACCCGAGCGTCCTCCGGAGTCCAAAGTAGGCACGATTCCCTGCCATAATGCGTCTTTAAATTTCACAGCTGGTATCATTTTCGGCAGTCACCAGTGAGCCCAAATAAACGAACTCGTCAACCACCTCGATTTCTTCACCGTCAATCTGAACTCGGGGCGGGAGGCTAATATTGTCTTCCCTAGAAACTCTTCCTCTCATGTATTTCGTTGTCGATGCGTTGATGGCAAGTACAATCCGCCTAGCTTCAGCCTTCAGTCTGATGCACGTTTCCGCTATCGTCTCAATGTTCCGTGCCATGATGACGATGTCATCGGCGAAGCCATGAAGCCGGATGGACTTCCTCAAGATTGTGCCGCTCGATATCTAATATCTCTGCAACAGGAATTTTCTTATTCCAAGTTCCATGGTCCATTAGACTGATGCAAAATTTGAAATTTTCGCTCCACAGTGCTCAAACGGTTTCAAATCAGGTCCTGATTAGCCTCAGGAATTTTAAACTCATTTGGTAAGAAACTGACTTGGCACAAACTATTCGATGTTTATATGGAAAAAAAAAAACTATAGGAAAACCAAGCTTTTTGTTCATTGTCTTCTACCCATTTTCCATATTGCTTTTTCGAAAATTTCTATAACTATTCTTACGGGACAGTTATACGCGATATTCTAAGCTACAACTTTGTGGAATATTGTTTTTCAGCCAAATGTCAAATTAAATTGTTATTAATTGTTTATCTTATTGGCATGATCAAGCAGCTGTTCTGTGGGCAACACTGTATTCTGCAGTGTGACATAGTAGCCATGATATTTGTGCTCTATTCTTCGCACCAGAAACACCAATGTTACCTGCTGAACAGTTGGATGAGCATAATCATAAGACATCAGTGACTTGAATCATTAAAAACTTTTGTTCCTTACATTTGATTGAAAAGTGGTTTTGAACAAAGTTGTAGCTGAGAAAATTTTCTACAATCACTGCTATATTTTTTAAAAGCATAGTGATGTGGTGAATTGTTAGATAGATATGAACAAAAACATATGTTTTCTCATAATAATTCCCATATAAACTTGAAATGGTTTGTACCAAGTAAAGTAGTTCAAATTTTGGGAGACTAATCAGGATCCAATTTGGAACCGTTTAAGCACTGTGGAGCGAAAATTTCAAATTTTGCATCAGTCTAATGGTCCATAGCTTTGAAACGTGTTAATCGAAATGTTCACCAGTTACCTACTCGTCAAGGTATAATAAAAAAAATGCTGGCTCTCGCTAGTAGGGGCACGGTGGTACATTAAAACATGCGTCCAAATTAACAAGTGCTTGTATCAATAGGCTCAATAACGAGTTCTATTTGGAGTCACGATTTCATTCCTGCAGCTTTAAAAAAATCCTTAAATCTTTCTAAATCTAAATCTAAATCTAATTTTAATCTAAAATCTAAATGTAGTCTAGCAAAAGTATAATCGAAAACTCGTGGTTAGCTCGTTATATTTTTGTTCGCAGATAGTATTAGGAGAGGTGTTTGGAAATGGGAAGCCTGGTCTCATCCGAAAATTGTTGCCAAATGAAGTGGGAAAAAAATCGTTCCATATTGCATTTGTCATCCAAACTGAATCAATCGTTTTTATTTTACATCACTTTTTATTAAGACTAGAATACCGAAAAAAAACTGATAGCTGAGCGTATTTGTGGTTGCATCTGAGATAATATATACAATAGATTTACCCGTGATTCGTATTTCCATGCTGAGTCGTTTTTTGAGTGAGTAACTTTGCAACTGCAGGCTAAGCATTTTGTGGAAATAATCACTAGTCTGCATTATAGCTTTAAGTTTTCAAATTTAAATTGACATTGATATGAGGCTGTTCATATACCACGTGTACAATTTAGTGTCCACGCCCCTTTTTAGAGATTTGTATGGCTGATTGAGCACGTATGAGAAAGAGCGAGTTTACTGTTTAATTTTTACACTTTTACTTTGATTTGCAGTCGGAGGAGAAAAAAATTCGACATTCCATCAGTTTTTAGTCTGTGATACTACTGTTAGTCTACGACCAGAGCTTCCTTTTGCATATTTATTTT